CCTCTCATCAAATCCGCCTTAGACGCCGCCGGAGTAACCCCGAAGGACATCGACTGCCTTTGCTACACCAAGGGCCCCGGCATGGGCGCGCCCTTACAGGTCTCCGCGGTGGTCGTCCGCGTCCTCTCCCAGCTCTGGAAGAAGCCAATCGTCGCGGTGAATCATTGCGTCGCGCATATTGAGATGGGCCGGGTCGTGACCGGCGCGGTTGACCCGGTTGTGTTGTACGTCAGCGGAGGGAATACTCAGGTCATAGCTTATAGCGAAGGGAGGTACCGAATTTTCGGGGAGACCATTGATATCGCTGTTGGGAATTGCTTGGACCGGTTTGCTAGGGTTCTCACATTGTCCAACGATCCAAGCCCTGGATACAACATTGAACAGGTGACATTAGCTAGAAATACACTGCTATTACTTCTGATTTGATTCAAGTTATATATGCCTCCATTTTCGTTTGATCCGATTAAAGTTTTCTGCTTATGGAAGAATATCAACGCGTAGATTACTGCTAAATGATAAATTTAATGATCTTATGAGGCAACAGATAGTGCCATTAGCAACTTGTATGACATTTCCATTTGTAGCACATGAAACAAGTCTAGCTAGTGTGGGAAATTCTCCAATTCTGGAAAGGGGCCCTGATTTTTTAATAGAACTATTAATATTTTTTAAAAAATTTTCCCCTTTCTATTTATAGTAATATGCAGGGTGCATTTTCTACATTATAGAATTTTCTAGTTACTGTTAGAAATTTTGCTTTCACAAGTTAAATTTGTGTTCCTGGTCTGCGTGTCATATTGCCCTAGGTATAATTCATCTAGTTGAACAATTAGAGCTTTGGCAATAGGAGGATGCAAGGTATTGACCCTGTTATGGGCACGTGTACAAACACTTTGTGGAATCTTTTATTGGACGTTGAGGCGTATCTTGTGATTTACCTCCTCTATTAAGGCTTTGGGGGTGTTTGGTAAATAGCTATTAGATGATTGGATTAGTGGATTTGACTAGTTGACAACATTAGTTAATTGTAGAAAAGTGTTTAGTAAATTAGTTGTTAGATGGTAGCTAATTACATGCAAAATGACTTTCTAAAAAAGCTGATAAAAAAAGTTGCTTTGAGCAGCTTTTTGAATTTTAGCATTTTGAAGCAATAAATTGTTACAAAAAACTAATTAATCAAACACTCATATTGATTGTTTAACCAAGTCAAACAGCTAATAGTGGTCAAATAAGCCAAAATTGGCTGATAAACTTACTATGTTATCAAACAGGGCCTTTAGGCTGGGACTCTTAGGGAGTGGGGTGCAATCTTTTTTCAAGAAAGGAAAATACCCAAAATATAAAACATTTATTGGAAGAATCATTTTGTAGGATTTTAACTTTGTGGGAAATGCAAAAACAGTATAATCACTTGGGCCTATTGATATGTATACAAGACCTTCCCAGTTTCTCTTTTCCTTTGGTAATACAATTTTTATTTGTCAATACTATCTAATACTCCCTCTGCCCCATGTTATTTGCCTGGTTTGGTTAATTTGAGTGTCCCGGTATACAATTCAATATTTATATTAAATTAAGTCAGTGTTAGTGAATAAATTTGCAAGCAAAGATCAATGCAAAGAAGTGAATAAAAAATTTGTTTGGCCCTCAGATAATGAACATGACTGATCTGTTCTTCATTTCAGCTTGCAAAGAAAGGAGAAAAGTTCATTGAACTTCCATATGTAGTAAAAGGGATGGATGTTTCATTTAGTGGGATCTTAAGCTATATTGAAGCCACCACTGAAGAGATGCTAAAAAATAATGAGTGCTCCCCTGCAGATCTTTGCTACTCCTTACAGGTATTAGTTTCAAATTTCAATACTTGAACTACTTGGTTTCGATTTGTATTTTCACGTCTAGCTCTTTTTCTTGAAATCACAAAGCGAAATGTTTGATACTCAATTCGCGGTATCCCTATCACTCTTTTAGGAAACTTTATTTGCAATGCTTGTGGAGATCACTGAGCGGGCCATGGCACATTGTGACAAGAAAGACGTATTGATTGTTGGCGGTGTGGGATGCAACGAGCGATTGCAAGAGATGATGAGAATTATGTGCTCCGAGAGGGGTGGCAAATTGTATGCAACTGACGACAGGTACTGCATTGACAATGGAGCGATGATTGCATATACCGGTCTCCTAGCCTATGCTCATGGAGCTTCGACTGCAATGGAGGAATCCACATTCACGCAGAGATTCAGAACAGATGAAGTGCTGGCAATTTGGAGGGAGAAGGAATCAACCAATACCAGCAATACTACCGAGGTTAGCATTTAACCAGGCATTTGGAGTTCAAGGTTCTCACTATTTTCTTTGTCTGTAATTGCTTGATATGAAACAGAGGTTTAAATTCTCGAATTTTTACGTTATGATTAGTTTATAATGTGCATTTGTATTCTAATTTCATACTTTTTGAGATTATATTGATAACAAAGATTGTAGTAATTGCAGGGAAATATATACTCTCCAAATTACAAGTACCATTTTTCTATGTCTACGGAACTTTTGTTCTTTATTGTGCACTGATTCAAAAGTTGATTGTCTTGGATTGCGATCATTACTATCCGATTTTACTATATGAATGAAATACATATGCTCAAGACTAGTAAATTAACTGATAAGTAAATGAATGGATGTGCAAGATATAAAATGGTAATAATATTATTTTGGGATAAGGGTCAAATAAGCCTTTAAACTATACTCATTTGTGCAATTAGGCCCTTCAACTCCAAAAAGCTCCAATTAGAACCTCAAACTTACCAAAAAAGTGCAATTAGCATTATTTGCAGGTTACTTTCAAGTTAAAAGGTCAACTCTTGATGATTGGATTTTTCAAGCTGATTTGATGAGCTGCCGTGGCTTTCAAATAATGCTAATTGCACTTTTTTTTTTGTAAGTTTGAGGTTCTAATTGGAGCTTTTTGGAGTTGAAGGGCCTAATTGCACAAATGAGTATAGTTTAAGGGCTTATTTGACCTTTATCCTTATTATTTTTAAAGTCAAATTTTAACATAAGATTAGTAAAGGTTAAATGATAAGAGTAATATTATCACATAAAATTTTAAATGTGAGTGAAGGGCTTTTAGATTAAGGTGGTCACATTGATAGTTTTTTAATTGAATTTTCATGACATAGAGAGAGCCTCCGTAGACCTGAAAATTTACAATAGTTACCATATGCTATTGAGTGACTTTTTTATGAGACGAAAAATGTAATACTAATGAAATAAAATGTTTGTTATTTATAAAGAAAATGTAATACTTTTGAGAAAAAAATATAATATTTTTTTATAAGGGAGTAATTTATAGTTTAAAGAACAAGACTATTTGTACACTCTAATTTTTATACACTTTTACACAAAATAACTTATACTTTCAAATTGAAATCAGGGAAAATGGCGCTTTTGGCCCCTCAATTATTTTACTTTTGAAAATTTAGCTCCTATCAATTGATTTGACCAAATTTAACTCTTCAATTATTCATAATGTGGTACATTTGGTCCTTCATATTATATAATTAGAATTGTTTTTAATAAATTATATAATTTATTTATTCAAAATTAATTTTTTTTAATATAAATAAATACATAAATTTTATTAAAAAAAAAAAAAAAAAACAGCCACCGGCTGTCCTCGCCAGACCACCGATGGCTATCTTCTTCACGGAGACGGTCATGGCCGGGGCTGTCTTGCCGGATAACCACGGCTGTCCGTGAAGAAGACAACAACCGGTTGTCCGGCGTGGACAGCCGGTGTGTTTTTTTTTTTTTTTTTTTTTTTTTTAATTTAATAAATAATTGTTTATATTATGTATTTATTTATAATGAAAATATTTTTAATTTTGAATAAATAAATTATATAAATTATTAAAAATCAGGGTTGTAAAAATCGGTCTAGGCGCCCGCCTAGGTCCCGCCTAGGCGCTAGGCGCCTCTAGACCGTGGCGATTTCCCACCTAGGAGCCCGCCTAGGTTACCGGCTGCCTAGGCGTCCGCCTAGCGCCTAACTCGGCCATTTGGCCGCCTAGCATCTAAGTTAGTCGAGTTAACTCGTCCATTTCGGTCGAGTTAACCCGATCGGCTCGGCCTATTTTTTTATTATATATATGTGTGTGTGTGTGCGCGCGCGCGCGTGCATACATATATATAATATGACGTATATACACTCGTAGACTAGTTTGATACTTTGAATCTTTGGATGATTGAAGTATTTGAGTATTTTTAATTTTTAATATTGTTTTAATGTTTTTTTTTAAAAGAAATCATTGTTTTGATGTTATGACTTATGAATTATCATTAATTCATTTATTTGGATGTGTTATTTGATTAAATGTTGAAAACAACCTCATTAAAATTGTCAAATTGCAAGTCTACCACTGTTTTTTTGACGCCCGCCTAGCGCCGCCTAGATTCCGCCTGGGCGCCGCCTAGACCGCCTAGGCGCTAGGCGCTGTCCGGGCGCCCGACTAGCGCCTAGCGCCTACTGCAACCATGTTAAAAACAATTCTAATTATATAACATGAGGGACCAAATGTGCTACATTATGAACAATTAAAGGTTATATTTTCTCAAATCAATTGATAGGGGCTAAATTTTCAAAAGTAAAACAATTGAGGGGTCAAAACTCAAAAGCGCCGTTTTCCCTTCAAATAATATATTACTTAATACGGGGTATTTGGTTTATGCGAGTATACTACAAGGATAAGAGGACGAAGCACAATTCTCGTAATAGAAGATCACACGTTTAATCTGAATTTGCTTAGTGCACATATATGCCAAGCATCTTGTGCTCAGAGTCATCTTTCATGTGAACACATATTACAATGCTATAGAGTCAGTAGCATTCAAAAAAAAAAAAAAAGGTATAATTTTGAAAGATATATTTGTTTAATTTGGATGCAGTGAAATCTTATGGGGTCGAAACGAAAATATATCTAACTATAAATTCCAAAGCGAAAAGACCCACGCAAGCATACACGCAATTCGCAAACGTTTCCAGAGTTCCAGTCCGGAATTTCTTCATCGCGCGGTTTCCCCACTCTCTCCAACACTCTCTTTCCCTCATAAAAAAAAAAAAAAGACTGAATTTCCGATGTTCTAGAATCGCTATTTCTTATTCTTTTTGGAGTCTTCCCAGGCGAAATGGAGAGCGAGAACGTTGCACCAAACCCCGCCGTAAATCAGTTGCCGGAGGCGGATTCATTGCCGGACGGTTTCGTGGTTAGCTCCAGCGCCGATGCATTGGCTCTGAAGTCGCCCAAACTAGCGTCTGAAAAGTCACCGGCGCCGGAGTTGGCTGATTACAAGGAGGATACGTTGTTGGAGCCGGAGTTGAGGCCCGGCGTGATAGTCAATCACGTCAATTTTGATGCAACTTCTGAAAGTGGGTGTAGGGACGCCCCGAGGGAGAGTGGAGTTGGAGGGGAGGGACAAGGGAGCTCGGAGAATTGTAAGTTGCTGCTAATTGTTAGATGGATTAGAATGTTAATTCTTGCGTTTACTGATCTTAATTGTGTTTAAATGGTTAAGAATCATCATTGGTCATATAATCATGTGTCTCTTTGATTTTTAATTTTGGGAGGTGCAGGAAATGCTTCTCATTCGTTTCATGTGTACTCACATGGAACAAAGCAGAAAGTACAGTTGTAATAACATTGTATGTTAGTTAAACAGGACTAGTTACAAATATGTATGTAATGTGATTTGTCATTTTGTATACTGTATTTATGTACTTTCAATACATTTACAGCAGCTATCTTCTCATGCTTGGATGAGTTGGATTATGTAAATTGCATTTGTGACGGTGGAGAATGTGAATGAGAGGATGGAAGGGGAAATTAATAGGAAATTCTTGAGGGATTCGTTCCCTTGTATGATTTTTGAATACTGCTAGAATGCTTGATATGGTTGCGTTCTTTTTACTAGGCATATGAGGGAACACTAACCCCAATGACTTAATCATCTTTCCTTTCAACTTTCCATCTATCACTTTTACCAAACATGGAAAGAAAGCAGAAGTTGTTGGAAAGAGAGTAGGAAATGGGAGGGTTATTATCTAGATGATTCATAATATGAGTGGAAACTGTCAAATCTGCTCACCTTCCATATAAATGAGGACAACTGTTTACATATCAGGAAAAAAAAAGATTGTGCATTAACGTTTATCACATTCTGTTATACTTTTATCATGAACTTACTGGTTTTATCAACAATTTGTTTGCAGCTACCAGAAATCAGCTGGCCCCAACCATTAAGGAGACACCATCACAAGAGAGCTCTGAACACCGAAAAATAGTCAGTGGATAGTAAAATATCTTTTGCCTTCAATTTGTGTTAAAATCTTTTATAGATTTCATCTTCTATTAAAATCTTAAGGAACAATGATCAACTGGTCCTTACTTTTCATATTTCTTATCATTGTTTAGGTATTTTCCTTCTTTTTATGAAATCAATATTAGTATTTCAACATAGTAATGATGTTATTATGTAGAATTGTAGAAAGGCTTTATTTATTTACCAAAGCTTGTAATTATTATTTTGCACATTTGGAATTTTAGGAAGCCTCTGAAGCAAAACGAAAGAATGCAAAACGCAGCTTTAAATCTGAAAAGGAATTTTTGGAGTTCACTTTGAAGTATCAACAAGTTATTGCTGAAAGAGATTCAGGTAACTTGTTATATAATGTACATGTTAATTGACTGATTCATTTCTGTGATATATAAGTAAGTTTTTCAAAAAAAAAAAAAAAAAAAAAACAGGAGGTACCTACAAAGCTTGACAGAAGGTCAGTCAATTGACCAATTCATTCATCATTTCCCCTTCAATTTATTTACCTTCTTGTGCTTGACTTTGCTTTCTTTATCTATGTGTAGTTAATAACTATTAACATTGAAATGTGTACTTAGACCAATGTACTAGTTGATAAATATGCATTATCTTAAAGGGTACATTTGTTCAAGAATTTCTACACCTATGAATTATGATGAAAGAAATTGGGAACCTCTAGGTGTGGGATCTCTACATTTACCAATGAATTTATGTTCCATTCTTCTAGGTAGCCAAAGAAGGTTAGTTTACATATTATGGATACTCTGGTGGTTATTCGCTTCCCAGCTTTGTTTTAAAGTTGTGCCTTTACATGGGAACAGTTGCTTGAAGTTGGATACACTCCCTCTCTTCCCCTTTGTCCACTAGAAATTTGTCATGATTAGTGATTTAGTAAGCTGTATTCAATGTTTTCTGGGCATTTTATTTAATTACTTATTTCCATCCTTACACTTTATAATGGTAGTGCTTTTCAGTCTAACTTTAATTACAAATTTTGAAGAATGGTATTGTCAGAAATCAACCCTTAACAAATCATTGAAGTTATTATATATGAAAATTTTTATGGGTAAGCAGGATATTTTTGCAATAGAACTGTGCCTTGAAAAAATATGTATAAGAAGTTTCCATTTTCAGCCCAATTTGTTTTCTCTTTCTTTTGATAAAATTTTGCTTTAAAACAGCAAGACAACGGAACTATACTGCAAATGAGCTAAGCTTTCATCATGCTGTTCCCAGCTTGCTTTGCTTCTTTTTGGCACAGATATCAAATGCTTTTTGTGAGTAGTGCTGTAGTGTCTGACCAAGATAACTCTTGTCTTTAATGCTGTCCTGTCATCCTTATATGGTTAAAGACTTTGCAAATTGTTTTCCTTACAAATGTAGGAACTAAACTGCCCAATTTATTTGATACTACAGAGTAATTGGATAAAAAAGTCATTTTGCTTGAATAAAATGTATGCTTGAAAGAAAATTTTCTGTCATGAATCATAGTCGTAGATACATGTTGGCATACTAGTAGATACATGCTCATTAAGAAAGAAGGATACAATTTCCTTTCTAAATTGTTACATGTACTGGCAGTCTGGCATCTCTTCTTTTATGGTCTGAATCAGTGGGATGATTTATTTCATTGCAGTAGTGTGATTTATGCCTGTTGCTCTGAAAAAAAAATGACAGTATCAAGACATTATTCTGAGGTTTGCAATTCCCATTTCATGAGATATGGAGGCAATTTCAGATACTCACATTTAACATTCATGAGATCTCATTTGTGATAGAGATGGAAAAAGGGATATGTGAATGAGGAATGGGTTCGGGATGCAATAAAACTTTTTCAATAAATCAGAAACATATAATGTATATATGTTTATTAAAATTTCTATTTGATAGAGATGCAAATAACCTGATGCCTTCCTTTATCTTTTGTTCTCTTACTTATGTTACATGTATATATTTTTTCAGCCATTGCTGTTCGGGATAGACTTGAGTCATTGTGTCGGGAATTGCAACGTCAAAACAAAGTATTGATGGTAGGAACAAAATTCACTTCATGCATTCTTATTTGCTTCTCCTTCTTAGATGTTATTATTATTGATAAAGCATGATACTTCCAGTGGACATCAAATTACCATTGCATTTTCATGGTCTCCCCTTAGCTCTTTTCAAAGGCATCCTGGCTCACCAAGGTTGGTGAACCTTGATGATGAGCAATTGAGCATTATTCTAGAGTGTGATAAACACATTCTTCAGAGAAAACCAACATTACAAGATGAAAATCCATCACCAGTGTGATGATCATTAATGCTGATGATATTTTGTCTAGCTCTCCTACCTCCCCTTCATGGTTTGGCTCCAGGTCATGGTGCATGTCAGAACCAAGCAAAAGTACCCAAAAATGTGTTTGCAATTAGAGAAAATCCAGTTAAATCCATGGTAGTTTCTGTTAAGCTATTGCAGATCAAAATGCATCACAGAACCTTTGCTCATACAAGTTTGTTTAACATGGTCTTTGTCGTTATTACATAGGAGGAATGTAAAAGGGTGTCAACGGAAGGTCAAAACTTGAGATTGGATATATCAAACAAATTTAGAGATGCAATCAAGGTTTGAATAGTTTTCATCTTAATTTGAATACATGTTACTTTCTAAAATGTGTGCTGTTTCTTTTCACAAATCACAATTGTGCTTGCAATACTTTTTTCAACAAATCAGTTCGGTCAGCGGTTTATGTATTCTTAGGGTTGCATAGTAGACGTTTATTATAATTAGTAGATGGATGTTGGAGAAGGGTAAAATGGCATTGAAGTTTGAATTTCTAAGTGCCACTGGTATGTAGCATGTAGCATATAGATGGGTTCTTCACTTCTTGTGTAGAGATCCAATGCCAGAGTTCTAATGCCATGGGTTATTTAAGTTTATTCTTTTTGTTTAATCTTAATTTTTTGTTCTTGTGGTTTTCCAAAATATTGCATTACTAATTGGAAACAAAGTTTCAGTTTACCTCTTTATAGTTGTCTACTTGTCTTTAAATGTAAAGAGAGGAAAATGCACTGTATTTCACACCCTTACTGTACAGATGAACCCTACATATATACATGAGTAGATAGAGTACTAACCACACATAAAACATGAGGAAATGAGAGAAAGTCTAACTAACTTATCCCTTATTTATCTAACACTCCCCCTCAAGCTGAAGCATAGATGTCAATCATGCCCAGCTTGTTACAAATATATTCAACCCTGGCCTTACTAAGACCTTCTGTAAACAAATCTGCCAATTGATCACCGCTTCGAACATGAATAGTAGAGAGTAGCCCTTGTTGAACCTTGTCTTGCACAAAGTGACAATCTACTTCAATATGTTTAGTGCGCTCGTGGAACACAAGATTGTTTGAAATGTGTATAGCAGCTTTATTGTCACACCACAAAGGAACCGGTTTATTCACCTCTACACCAACCTCCCCAAGAACATTATGTATCCACGTTACCTCAAGGCCATATGAGCCATCAGATTCTGCATAGGTGAGACACAACACTTTGCTTCTTACTCTTCCATGAGACTAGATTGCCACCAAAGAATACACAATATCCCGTAGGAGATCTCCTGTCACTTGGTGACCCAGCCCAATCAGCGTCAGAGAAGGCCTCAACACTTACATGCCCATGATTGGCATACGAGATTCCTTTCCCAGGAGCAGTCTTCAAATACTGTACAATTTGAACTGCAGCTTCCCAATGAGGTTTAGTAGGGGAGGCCATGAACTGACGGGAAAGGCAATATCTGGACGAGTGATAGTATCAGTTTTCCTACCAGTCTCCTATACATCTCTGGATCTTCAAGAAGCTCCCCCTCACCAGCTACAAGTTTAACACTCTGGTCCATAGGAGTCTCACAAGGCTTTGACCCTAAGAATCCTGAGTCTTCAAGTAAATCTAGCACATATTTCCGTTGTGAAAGAAACATGTCTCTCTTAGAACGAACAACTTCAATCCGAAGGAAATACTTCAACACTCCCAGGTCTTTCGTATGGAACTTGAGCGCATCAATTTCTCTCGCATCATCACCTGCGATCACTATATCAACATAGACAATTAACAAAACACAGCCATGATTAAATGTAAAGACTAAAGAGAGAGGAAAACGTACTGTATTTCACACTCTTACTGTACAGATGAACCCTACATATATACATGAGTAGATAGGGTTCTAACCACACATAAAACATGATGAAATGAGAGAAAGTCTAACTAACTTATCCCTTATTTATCTAACAGTTGTTAATTGTTATGCCTGTGAATATAAAGAGATGTGAATTTTAAGGAAAAACTGAAAACAAAAAGAAATGATAATCTATTGGGCTTCCACATCTTTGTCTTTGAATTTTGATTCAGGATTTCACTGTGTTTATTTTTAGGAAGTAAGCAACAGGATGGAAGAGCAGAAAGATGAATGTCTATCACAGTTGAAGGAGAATGAGACGTAAGATTATTGGGATTCCTGGCTTGGCTAATTTACATGAATGACTTTTTTGAAGTGAAAAACATTGAACTCCTGTGCCATGCTTGAAACTATAATGCAAAGTATATGTGATAGCTTCAAGTTTTAGCCTTGTACAGCTAATCTTATGGCTTGCTAAGTAATTGAACTGCAGGTTAAAAAGCAAACTGAAACAAGTCACTGATCAGTATGCTATAGCTGAGCAGCAGTATACACAAAAGGTACTTCCTATTTACATGTATTACTTTAAGCTTCTGAATATAGTTGAAGTATTTCTTCTTTGGCTATGCTTCAACTTAACTGTTATCTTTCTTTCATGCAGTTGAAGCAAAAGGATCTTGAACTTCAGATAGCTGATTTGAAAATTAAGCAACATGAAGAGAAAATACTGCAGGAGGAGTCCCAGATGAAATTGTATGCAGAACAGGTCTCCGAATTATTGATGACTGAAAAGAATTTGCGGTTGCAATTGGCAGCTGATGGTGAAAAGTTCCAGCAATTCCAGGTCTGTGTGGTAACCGAAGGACCAAGAAAGTTTATAGATAGTTACACTAATATTGTTTTCATCAAATTTAATAGTAGTAGATCAAAGAGACCCTATGGATGGATGGGAAAGAGGTTAAAGATGGTGTTCTGACCCATCAATACCTCAATTACGTAAGGAAATGGATCGAGTATCTCCCATCTGCACCTTGAGTAGGAAGTTAAAAGGATTTAGTTTGACTACCTAATTAGGAGCCAGTCACACTATGTGCCCCTACCAGCAGATCACATAGGAAAAGTTTATAAATTAGCCAATGAATTGCCCTTTTTATGATCCGTATTACAGTGGTGCTGAAAAGTTAATGCTGTTAAAAAAAATTATCTATAGCCTTTTTCATACTCTAATTCTATTTTATCTTTTACAGGAAGCATTGTCAAAGAGCAATGAAGTATTTGAAGCTTTTAAGCAAGAAATTGACAAGGTATATTTGTTTTACTCTGTTCGCCCTCCCAAGCTTTTGTTGTTAAGCTGCCAATGACTATTTTTAGCATAGAAGTAACTGAGTTTCATTATGCTTTCACTAATGCAGATGTCAAAATCCATAAAAGAACTCAAAAATGAGAATACTTTCTTGAAGTCCAAATGCGAGGGTACAGATATTGCTCTCATAGAGCTGGCTGAGGAGGTAAAGTTTTGCTATAGAAATCCTGCAATCTATCAATCTGTGGTATTTTGTTTTGAAATCCATAGCAGTCTACCCATCTCTTAACCTTGGTGACCATTGATCCAAGTGGCAGCACCCTCTGTTTCTCTAATTCTTTATTCATATTATTATTACTTGAGTCTGATTGTCACTTTTGGTTCCACGAGTTTGCTGACATTCCTACTATTAGTGCACGGCTAAGAAAATTGCTACTGTAAGTGCACAAAAGTTTTGTTCTTTTCCCACTTTTGGTTTTTTCTGGTGAGAAATCTGGTGAAATTCTACCAGATTTTGTATGACTTGCAAGTGCTAGGGCAAAATCACTGGAAGGACCAAAAGTAGGGAAAAAAAAAGTTATGCATTTATAGTAGCAATATTCATAATCATGCACCAATGGTAGGATTGTGACCAAACTCGTGGGACCAAAAGTGAAAATAACTCTATTGAAAACTATTAAGCTGTTGGGGGGAAAAATTGAGCTTTCTGCTCTGCAGCTCTACGTGACATAGAATAGTCCAAATAATCTAAAGGGGGTGACAGATTTTTGTAGACTTTCAAAGAGTTCTAAAGTGATTTTCATAGAATCTTTCTAGACTTGGGGTGTGTTTTGGTTCACACATGGGAACTGGAATCAGAATAAGAATCAAATACTTGATAATAGATTTTGGTCAAAGTATTTTGCATGTTTGGTAGTAAGTTGGAATTTGAATAATTATGAATATTGATGTTTGGTTATGTATGACTCTATAATGGGAATAAAGGTTTTAAAAATACAAAAAAATAAAAAAATAAAAAATCAAGGCAATTAGTTCTAATATAATGACATCCAAAGTACAAATATGAAAAAAAAAATCAAAACAAAAATCAAAATGCACTAATTGAATTTAAAAATCGTATTACCAATAAAATGGAATGATACTTATTTTTAATTAAAGAATAAGGTTTTTAATTGAAAGGGTAATCAAATTCTATAGTTGTTTTGAAAAGTTGTCAACCAAACACTAACTATGATTTTGATTCTTATTTCTAGTGTGTAAACCCATAAATCAAACACATAGTGGTTTTCATAGAATTTTAAATTGAATACACCCTTGTAATTTTTTCCACACAAGATCCAACTATCAAACTCTTGGCTTGTATGTGTAAGATATTGTGAATTTTTTAGATGCACAAGGTAAGTTGTAATGTGTGTTGTGTTGGGAGCAGCGCGAACAGCTGAAGAAACAACTGGAGAAAATGCGGAACCAGAAAGAGAGATTGGAGTCGTTATGCCGCTCACTTCAAGCAGAGCGGAAGGCCAGCTCCACTGCAATTGCTAGCTCCGATTCAGTTTAGGATTCGGATTATTTATCAATCAATTGTGTAATAATAATAATAATAATCAAATGTATTTTGTGGCTTCATCACACAACAATTCTTCTTTCTTTTTCATAGCCCCACCAAATTTTGTTTCAATGATCATCGGAGGTGAAGTTTTGATGAAGGTTTGCTTTGATTTATTACTCTTGTTTACTTGTTTAAGTTTTATTTTTAAAAATGAATAAAAGTTTTCATTCATTTTTTAAAATCAATTAAAATATACCGAGAAAAAAATAAGACTCTATGTGGTTTGATCTGACTGTATTTAACGGGTCGAGAGAGCAAATTATACCATAAATCAGAATTTACCTTGCATTATAAATCTATAATTGACAAAATTATCCCATTAAAATAAAATTAATCTAAATATTTTTTTTATAAAATTCGCTGGTCAAACCACTATAACACAATATGTTATCTGCTCATTTTATTTTACCTAATAAAAAATACAAAGCAACGCTTTAAAATTTAAAAATTGGTTATATTTTGTCGTTTTGTTTAAGTTTAAAAGGGGCGTGGTGATTGATTTTAGTTAGAGAGGATCTTCCAAAACCAACTCTTCCCGCAACGCCCGTCACTCTCACTCCTTCCCCTTCCTTCATCGCCACCGCTTATGGCGGAGAAACCCACCAGAACCACCGCCACCGCCACTAATATCAGTTTGGAGGGCAGCAAAGCCGACAGGCACGTCTGGTTGATGAAATGCCCTCCCATCGTCTACCGCGTCTTACAGCACCAACACTCTGCTCCTCTTCCTCCGCCCCCCTCCTCCTCCTCCACTGACACCGACTCCTCCGCCCTTCCCGTCGCAAAAGTCATCGTCGCCGTTAACCCTCTCCTTCCCAACGATGACTTCGCCTCCACTGAGGTACCTGCTGTATTCACATTACCACCTCACGCTTCCCCCTTCTTCTTCTTCTTCTTTTTTCCCTGGAAACAAAAAAAAAAAAAATACAATTAGGGTTTTTCATGAAATAATTTTATGAAGTCACTTACTAATCAATCATTCTTGTGTGTGATAGACCATAGATGTACATGTACCTACTAATCTATTGATTACCTCACTCACTCCAATGTATGGATTCATCGCCGGCATAATTTGCTTATCTTACATGTTCTCTAGAGAGAGCCCCTCCCTGGGTGCAGGAAGGTTGGCATTATTTTCCTGGAAAGCAGTTGTACTTGCAGCCATTTCATCTGCTTGGGAGAAGATTCTCAATGGGAGAGGGTGGTGGGTGGGAGTGAATAGTTTCTTATCATATAAACAGGAAGAAGAATATTGGAAAATATTATATAAAGCAGAGATTGAGGCATTGGACAAATGACTAATATCATGCTTGTTGCCTTCATTCTTATCCTTTAAAAAGTGCACTTTTCTTTATAAATGTTAAACATTCAAAGTTCACTGAGGTACTAGTTTCAATGATCCATGAATAAACCATGTCTGTATGTGTTGGACTTGTGGTCTTCAAATTAGGGTCCTGTTTAATAAAGCTTAAAGCTTATTTAAGTTGATGGTTGAGATACTAGATTAAATAGCCTTACTGTTCACATGTTTGGAAAAGAATTATGGATTATGGATTAACACAACATTAGGGTCCTGTTTAATAAAGCTTAAAGCTTATTTAAGTTGATGGTTGAGATACTAGATTAAATAGCCTTACTGTTCACATGTTTGGAAAAGAATTATGGATTATGGATTAACACAACACCAGACTTATTTACCCAATAATCTATAAGCAAGTTGAAGTAGATTATGCAGATAATCATGCACTGTAATTGCAATCCATATTCACAATCTTTACCAGGGCGTATACTAGTAAGCTTCAAAGAGAATAGGATCAGTGTAGTCCTGCAGGATGTCAAACCCAGAGGTAGTTCAAAGTCCAGATTGCTTACCTTTTTAAGGATGCTTGGAGGAAATGTTCTTCCTATGATGTACTAACCAATGAAGAGAATAAATATAATGTAAAAGCTCTCTGTATTTCCTGTCATTACCTTCATTTTCCAAATGTTTTGGTTGATATTTCCTATATTTCTCCCCTTTACTTTCCATTTTTTTTTTCAGGTCAAGCAGTACTAGAATATTATTTGCATACAAATCCTATTTGCTATAAAAATGATTGTACTTCCCTTTTACATTCATTGTTTACATGATGACCAGTTTACAATGGAGTTGCCTGGTACCGAACCTGGAAACATACCGAAGTGCTATTCTTTGGACATGTCGACAGACTTTATTCCAATGTCCATATTTTCTGAATCAGTACAAGGTACACTTCTCATTTTGTGAAACAAACAACTCAACACATAGTTAATGTTTTCATCTGCTCTTTAAAGTTGTATTTACTTCTTTATGCTTATATCCTCAACTGACATTTTATAGAAGAATTTTAGTGGGAATAACCATAAGCACCACCTTTGACCTGTCTTTTGCTCGTAATATCTTCTAGGTTTCAGTTTCAAATGGTACTCATAAAACTAGAAAAACTGCAACTTTAGTATGGAATCAAACATTAGGAGACTAACACATGCACATGTGTGTTCCTGAAGCATTAAAGTCTTAAATCAAGGGTAAATGGCACCCTCTTATCACCATATTGCTCATTTATTTTAAAAAATGTCATGGATGATTAGAGCATCATGGAAACATTTGTAGTCAATGCATCTTTTTTTTTTTTTGGGACAAATGACATTTATAGTCATTGCTTGTTATGTTTGGTAATTGGTCATCTAAAAGATCAAATTTCACTTCTCACTCAAATTCATTAGATAAGATTGGAATGGGAGGAAAGTATTTCCTAAAAATCAACAAGCAAAATATAGACTTCTTTTGCAGTCGGGATGGTGATGAATGATGTTTACGTCTAATGTAGGAAGGCTTTCTGTGGAAGGGAAGATCTATCACAAGTTTGATATGAAGCCTCACAATGAAAACATTGAAAACTATGGCAAACTATGCCGTGAAAGGACAAACAAGTATATGACCAAAAGTAGACAAATACAGGTAATCTTTTTATGTTTGTGATTTGATATTGATCAATTTTTCTATTTAAGTTTGGAATAATTTTGACCATTTGTTCATTTCATTTATTTATTAAAAGTTCTGTTTATTTCCTGAATTCCTCCATTCTTTTGCAGGTTATTGACAATGATAATGGAAAACATATGAGGCCAATGCCAGGGATTTTTGCTTCAAAGCCTACTACTACTACTGGATCTGCACCAGTAATTTGCATCTTACCTCAGTTGAACTTTTTCTTAAATTTATGGGAGAGGTGTACAGTGTACTCAAACTATATGCTTACAGATGGCAACTCCATTAATGACTTTGTTCATATAATTCTCTCTTACCAATTGTAGAGGAAAATAAAGAAAAGACTTGTTGATTGTCTAGTCAAGCTAAATAAGTGGTGCCTGCTGTTTTGATAGGAAAAGAAGAAAGCACCTACAAAAGGATCGGAACTGAAGAGAACGCGAAGAGACCGTGATGAGATGGAAGAAATCATGTTTAAGCTGTTTGAGAAGCAGCCAAATTGGACACTAAAACAACTGATTCAAGAGACGGACCAACCAGAGGTTAGTTGTCTTAGCAACCCTCTACCCCTTTGTTTGATCCTTCATGTTGGGGTTTAAGCAACTCAACTATGCCTTGATCCTAATCATCAAGTTAGGGTTTCACTATATGGATTTGTCTACTCGGTTTCTAATGCCACTTTGGATCTTCACTTATTTATGTCAATCATTGGTTGGGTGCTTGATCCATGACATTACCTGCCTCATTAAACATGCTTTTCTTTAATTTTATCAGCAATTCCTGAAAGACATGCTTAAACTGCTGTGTGTCTACAATAACAAAGGCACAAACCAAGGAACTTATGAGCTGAAGCCCGAGTACAAAAGATCAGAAGATTCTTAGATTGATTTATCCATCCGATTTCTTCTTCTTTGGATTCTTTTTTTTTTTTTTTGCAATTTGATTTTGTAAATAACTAATTCTTCTGTACAAAGAGGGGGGAATTAATCTGAACAACAAATTGTTTTTGCTTCAATTCTTTTTCTCTATTTTCCCCTTTTTGATGTGTAATTATGGTAACCAACCCTTTTATTCACTGTGTTGTGTTCTTCATCCTTCACGAACACTAAGGGGGTTTGGTAAACAGTTCTCAAAAAGCTGATTAAAAAAACTTTTTAAATTTTAACATTTTAGAACAATAAATTATTACAAAAAACTAATTAATCAAACATTCATATTGTTTAACCAAATCGCTAATAATAGATTGATAGGCTAACTATTTTACCAAATCTAATTAAACTAACCCCTCTATATAAGCAGCTTTAAAAAAAATGTTAAGTTAACTCGGAGTAAAATTCCTGTCTGTCACGTTATCTTAATAATATTGGAAGAAGAAATAAATAGAAAAAAAAAAGTATTTTAGAAAAAGTGCTAAGTGCGGAGTATTTAAGGTTTGATAGATTCAGATGTGGGGAGGGCAGGCGGACATATAGCACAAGAACACTGACAGTTGGTAATATAAAATGGAGAGAGAGATTGAAGAGAATGAAATGGAGACTTACAGCCCACCTTTCCAAACTTGAACAGATTATTGCTGTATTCCATCAAATACAACAAAATACAAAAGCTGCTGGCAATATATTTAAAAATAATTTAGAGAAAAAGAAAAAAGAAAATGAACAACCTAGAATTCTGTTAATCAAAAAGACGGCCTTTGCTCGCCGTCCTCCACTGCCCTATCATATCATAGCTGCTGCTGCGGCTGCGGCTGATGAAATTACAAAAACTATTGTACAGTGCGGCAAACATAAGTGGATTTGCCAGGGAGGGGCCTTCTGGGCCTTCCCCTTCTCCATTTCTTCTTCTTCTACTACCTGCCTATTTCACCCTTACCTCGCCATGTATCTTCCTCTCTCATCATGCTCCCCCCACCCTGCCCACCAAACTGTTCAACCTTGGCGTAGTGCATCTTTATAGCAGCCACTGGATCTGATACCCCTCCCGTGCACTGCCCCCCTCCAACAAGGATCCCTCCTCGCCCAACAACGTTAATACCTAGCCTGCCCCTTGCTTGCTGCTGCATGCCCGACACCACATCAAACCCTCCACTTCTTCTTTGCATCTCTGAGAACGATACCTCTGGCCGCTGTTTCATGTCCAGGCCAAAAGGCTGCTGCACCTCCCGGCTTCTGTATACCTGAAAATCTGCTGCTGCTGCTGCTACCCCGTTGCTGCTAGGATAAACAACAGGTACGCCATTCAAATTCCTTTCGCTGCTTTTTACAACTGCGTGAAAAGGGGGTTGCTCCATTTTAGTTGTTGATGGCATTGCATAATTTCCGAAAGCAGCAGGGTACTTAGCCAGCAGGATGGTAGAATCAGGCAAACTGGAAAACCCAGTTTGTATTCTATTCCCATCCCAATAACCATAACTCCTCACAGGAAGATGATTCTCAGACCCACGAAAGTTGTTGCACTCAAATTTGCCTGGTCCAGGAATACCATCATTCACACCAAATGACTTGCTATTGTTGATTTTAGGATGCTGCATGCTTGTCTCCTCCCTCCGTTGTGTGTTACAATTTGAATTCTGCTGAGATGAGGGTTTGGTAAGAATTTGACCAAACAACTTCACATCACCATTCCTGCTAGGTTTTCCCACCTCTGAACAACTACTACTCTGTGTCTGCTGTTGGTTAGGGAATGGCTGCTCAGTAATCGAACAACTGCCATGTGGTGAACTACTACACTTTCGAACAACACAATCAGCAGTTTTTAACCTAGCTGACTGGGTATTCCTATCGGCTTTAGGGAGGCCCTGAACTGAAGCTGATATCTTGCAACCAAAATCTCCATTCTCTTTCGCGATTGACCCAATTACTTGCAGGGATTCAATATGTTCTGATATATGCTGCTCAGAAACCCCAGAAGATTTCAGATGCTTCAGATCACCAACACTTTCGAGATCAAGATTTGTTAGCTTATCACCATTAGAAGCCTCACATGCAATAACAGCAGAATCTTGAGACGGTGATTGCATTAGAGGTGCATTATTGCTCACCTGCAGAGAGCTGACATCAGACTTCAGTCTGGAGTCTGATTCAGAATCGCCCTTGGTGTGACATCCAGATATATCATCCATCCCAGAACTAGTATCAGCAATGGTGGAAGTATCATATCCAGCTAGTTGAAGCCCAGATTTAACATTCAAACTACATTCTGGCAATGGAGCTAAATGATCCCTCGATTCTTCAGTCAAATTCTTTGCAACATCATCTCCTTCTCCAGCATTAGCATCGGAACAATTTTTGTCAGGCAGACACTCATCACCAGACTTATCAACAACTAGCTCACTTTGAAATGGGGATGAGATCACATTTCCAGCACCCTGCACAACTACATTAGCCTCATCCTTAATATCCCTGTCAGATTCTATCTCCTGCTTATCCATATCACATGCATTGGGGCTCATATGGTTAGACACAAGTTCAGTATCTATAGAATCCAGGTCTCCAGTCCCATTATCCCCATTATCTTCAGAGCTGTTAAGGTCAGGCTTAACATCCATTCCCTCTGCTAAATCTAGTTCTTGGTTCAACTTCATATTTGGGGATTCCACCTTGATTCCCGATTCCTTGATACATATGGAGGAGTCAGTTTCTAGTAAACAGGCATCTTCAGCATCACTTCCACCTCCATTAGCATCCTCTCTAACCACATTCCCAGGTTGAGGACTAATTGTATCAAGTCCAAGACACTTCCTGGCCTTGCTAAAGAAGATCTTGCACTGATCCCTAGATCTTGTTTTGACAAATCTTGAGATCATGGTAAAATCTTTCCCATAGGATGAGACAGCCTGAATGAACATAAGTTTCTCCTCATCAGTCCAATCAGTAGGATCCATCTCCCCACAACTTTCATCAGAACAGGTTTCATCATCAACACTCTGTGTAACCTCAGGAGTCAAAGGCCTTCTGGTTGAAGAACTCACCTTCTGGTATTTCCACTCATGGTAACCATCACTGGGGTCAATAGAACTTGTAATGCAGGAACTCATAGCTTCAGATGACAGGGAACCACATATACCAGCCAATACATCAGCAGCCACAGTCTCTCTGTCACTGTTACATACATCAAGACTGTTTGACACATCCAATTCATCATGTCTTGGCATTTTGGTTTCACTTGTAACCCCAAGAAGGTATTTAGAGGTACACTTCTGAAATACAATCTCATCATCAACATTAGCTGCAATAGCAGAGGCCGCACCTAATATGTCAAGGGAAACAGCATTAACTTCACGATTCCATCTTTTCCCTCCTGACGCAACAAGGTAGGTAGATTTCCCTTGTTTTGTATAACCTGGCTTCCTCTTGGTTTTTGCAAAACAATCTGACTTGTGATTCTTATAGTAAAATTCAATGCAGTCAGCAGTTGTTTTGTGATCAAGGAAAGAGGCAATTTTGCTGAAGTCTTTCCCAAATGTAGCAAGCTTATCAATGAAAATTTCTCTCTCCTCTGATGTCCAAGGATTAATCGTTAACCTCTCTTTTTCAGAAGAGCAGGGATCTTCCACCAAACCATTATTTGAAATGAATCTTGAAATCATCTTCTCCTTCTTATCTAAAATCAAAGCTGGCATTCGTTCTGTACTCCTGTAGACCTTCACTTTGGAATCTGAGAGTAATCTGCTTGTGAAATTTAATAGTTCTGACGAAGGCACCAAGTTTAAATTCCCAACTGCAAGAAAATGATCATGAAAGCATAAGAAATCAGTACCCCCCAAAAAAAACATTAGATGTTAATTAGAAAACTAAAGAGCAACCCAAATACAATTTTGTTCTAAATCTGAGCAGACAAAATCCATCTTAAATACAACCGTGACAAATATTAAAAAACAACACCGTTTCTAAATCTTTTTTATTTTATTTTGTAAATTTGTAAATTAATTGTGGCAATAACCTACTAACTGAGTTGCAACAAGTACTTTAGCACCAACCAAATAACCCAGTTAATTTATCTAGCTGGAAGTGTTCATTTTAAACCACTAAGAATCTCAGGATCTCACGCTACTACAAGGGCCAAACATAATACCTAGTAAGGTGAATGTGATTAATTTTACCAATAGACATTAACTCACTATTCTTAAGCTGATTCCATAAGATAGACCTGAAATTATAAAGCACCAGGCATTTCCGCTATATGTAATTTCAATGGAAATAAGGAATGTGTACACAGATGAAGCTAGTTTAGGACATTTATCAAGCTGCATTTAGCATTCTTGTGTAAACAAAGTATAAGAACATGATATGTTACCCTCAGCATGCTAGGGATGGTTTCTATGTAGAGAAGAATTGGAGATGAGGGTTAACCAACCATCAAGCATGCTTTACAAGTTACAACCCCCATCAGAAATTGATACACAATCCACTACTGCTGAGAAAAATGCGCTAATTGAAGGATATGTGCTGTGGATCAACCTACCATTGAAGGCAATTCTAAAATAACCAAAGGATGCTTTTAATAGCCATCAAAAAAAGATGTTATATTCACTATTGTTTCACTATAGTGACATGGTGAAGGATACGAGTATGGTTAACGTTAGGGCTATTATATGAGGGAAGTTTTTGCAATTCATTTTTTGCTGAGCTGGTACACATCAACTGAAGACTCAAGGATATTAACAAAATGCAATCACTATTCAAATTAAACAACAAATGTGAACCAAGTCTAATTTCTTATAAATCACAGAAATACCTAATTATTAAACAAAAAAAGGTTCATCAACTACTTATTATGATAAGTCCTTATTATCTCAGTTTCCAACCATCACTGATCCCTAATTTCATAGAACCTAACACAACCCCCCCCCCCTCCCCCAGGGGGGTACTCAGCTTCCAATTACAATAGCCTGTTAAAGTAAAGAAACACAACACCTTTAAAAAGAATATTGAGATTTGCAGCAAATTGTTAAAAAAACATACTCGGCCAAAATTCCATCTTAAATGCATTATGAAAAACATATACAAATGAAAAGGGGGAAATTTTCACACATTAAAAAATAATAATAAGATATTTGTTTACCAGCAGAAGAAG